GAACAGTCATCTTTTGTCTTATATTTGCCTCTTATTTGTTAACTTTATAGTGTCTTATACAGAAAGTTTAAGTTTTTATGTAGTCAAAATCACTGTCCTTTTCCTTATAGTTTCTGGAAATTATATATTATCTAAGAACACTTCCTCTCCATTCCCCCTCTGTCCCTGATCTGAAGTGTTTTAAAAAATCATATAAAAACTCTCATAGTTTTATGGGATTTATTTTGTTTTAATTAATCTGAAACTTATTTTTGCTTATGATATAAGGTAATAACCTATTTTTTTCCCCAGTAGGATAACGAGTTGTCCAAAAACTATTGAATATCTGTCCTTTTCCATGATTTGAAGATACTTTTATCCTAAAATAAACTCCCATGGATATTAGGCGTATTTCTGAACTCTTAATTCTGTTATATTGTTCTGTGTTTCTCTCCTTAAAGCAAAACAGCACTATTTTAATTACTGTGTTATAGTATGATTTGGTATTTAGTGAAGCAAATTTCCTCATCTCTGTTCGTCCTTTCCAAAATTTTCTTGGCTTTTTTTCATATCAACCTTAGAATTGGCTTCCCAGGTTCCATAAAAATCTCACTGAACTTATTAATTTAGTGAGACTTGTCAACTTTGTAATGTTAATTCTGTCTAGAAACCAGATAAGCTTCTACTTTATGGTTCTTTAATGTACTAGATAAAGCCTTTTTTAGTATATGTTTTCCACATTTCTTATTACAGTTATTAAAGGTATTTTGAGTATTTTAATTGATTATAGGTTTTCCTCTAATCCCCTGTGGCTTTTTTGGGGGGGAAATCTTGGCTTTTACCTCCCTCTTTTTTTTTCTTATTTTATTTCTATTTTGTTAAAGTATATTCAGTTTACAAAGTTATGTTAATCTCTGGTGTACAGCATAGTGATTCATTTATACATATATATATTCCTTTTCATATTCTTTTTCATTATAGGCTATTACAAGGTATGAATGTAGTTTCCTGTGTTATACATTAGGACCCTGTTGTTTATCTATTTTATATAGTTTCTACAAATCCTGAACTCCCAGTTTATCCTTCCCCACCCCCTTTCCTCCCTGGTAACCATAAATTTGTTTTCTGTGGCTGTGAGTC